CCAACCTAATAGCGATGGCCTCCACCCTAATAGTGATAGCGATGTTGTCCAACCGGATAAAGTCGAGTTCCGCAACTGCGCAGGATTCCACAACTAGGATTCCGTAACTGTTTGGTCGGATTCCGCAACTGGCGTTCCGCAACTAGGATTCCGCAACATTGTGGATTCCCTCACTAGGATTCCGCATGATGCGGGGGTTGGCGTGATGTCAAGATCACACGATTTGGGTGGGGGTCTAATGACGTTGGTTTGGATGTGCTTCGAAGGTGATGTCAGAGGCACACACGCTATTGCATGATGTGGAGATCTCCAGTTGCAAGTTTCAGAAGGGAAGTTGCAGAATCTGACTTCCAGTTTCAGAATACCAGTTGCAGAATCTGACTTTCCAGTTTCAGAATACAAGTTTCAGAATCCCAGTTTCAGAATCCTAGTTTCAGAACCCCAGTTTCAGAATCCTAGTGTCAGAACCCCAGTTTCAAAATACTAGTTTCAGAAGCCAAGTTTCAGAACCCTAGTTTCAGAACCCCAGTTTCAGAATGGGACCGATTAGTTTCCGAATCCGGCTCTAACCTTGTCCAACCTAATAGCGATGGCCTCCACCTACTAGCGGTGGCCTCCACCCTAAGAGCGATGGCCTCCAACCTAATAGTGATAGCGATGGTGTCCAACCTACTAGCGATGGCCTCCAACCTAGAAGTTCCCTTGAACAAGACTTCTAAAAGGTCTTTAGTCCGCAGTGCATCGCTCCTTGCTGCTTGCTATCTTCGCAAGAACGCACCTCTGCCAGGGAGCATCCAGAAGTTTGTCACATTCGACACAGACTTCGGGGAGCTATCGGAAATGGTCTCAGGCGGGCGCCGCTGAGCGCGAACTTTAGCAAATGCGAAGACCTAAGGACTGTAAGATGCTCAAAAGAAAGGATCAAACCCAGATTGGATCAAACGCTTTTTGTTTGTATCACGCAGACAGCCTGGATCCGCCTTCCAGGCCAGAAGTCTGGGATGAGTTCCAGGACAAGTTCAACATCCCCGTGGTGGTGGAGTGTGGATCCTCAACATCTCCTCGCTCTTAGATTGGAGGCCATCGCTAGTAACTTAGTAGGTTGGAGGCCATCGCTAGTAGGGTGAACGACTCTTTTGTATTGGAAGACGCGCCGCGAAGCACATGAAAGCTGCAGAAAGTCCTGGGAACCCAATATGAACCAATGAAGTAAAATCACAAACACAGAAGAAAGGGAATGAGGGAACACATGAAAACAGGTGAAAGAAATGAGGACATGTTCTTTTTCGTATCTATTAGACAGAGGAGCACTCCTAGCTCAAGTCTTAGCTTATTGCCTTGCCAAGACGTGCCGCTCACAGCAGACACCAGTGATGCCGATTCCCTCTGGTTTTGGCTCAAATGCTTGGCTGAAATGTGTCACCCGTCATAGATTGAATCTCAAGACAAGATAAGAGAAGGGAGCTAACAGCTCAGGTGGCGAAGCTAGATGAGTGGCTAAGGGCAGAAACTATTTGGACAACCTTGCACTTTTAAAGTGCACAAGTCTAACCCCCCAAATGAGCAGTATCAAAGGCAGCAAAAGTTGGATGTAACTAGGTTGGAGGCCATCGCTCTTAGGTTGGCATCAAAGGCAGCAAAAGTTCTCATCCTGTCAAAGCCTCGAACTCTGTTTCCATGGTTCGATGCTGCGAATGCGCAAAATGCGATTGGCACGTCGAAACAGTTCAAGTGCAGGCTGCAATACGTGACAGCATCGAGGAGGACATCGACGATATCAGCAGCAATGAGCAATGTGAAAAACAGGTCGAAGACCTCGAGATACAGAAGACCCAGTCCAACCTTGTTTCGCAGATCTCCTCTGTTCGGGCATCGTTACAGCTGTCTCTAGGACACCTGAGCCTAGATTTGCAGGACTTCAGCCTTCTACGTGGCACCCGATTGGTCCAAGTCCTTAGACGTTTTGGATCCGAACTACGTGCCAACAGTTTGAAAGACACTTTCACTCAAGAAGAAGCTGAACGGCTCTTCGGAAGATCTGCTCAAGTTCAGAAGATTGATCACTTCATTAGTCATTGCTGGCAGGATGAGCGCTTTGCAAAGGTGGTGGCACTACATATCCATTGCAATTTGCGACCAGCAGTTCTTAGCTCTTTATTCCTGGCGATGCTCGCGGTCAGTCTCACCCGCTTGAAGTTCTTGCCAGTCGTTGAAGCAGGAGTGAGCAACGAGATTCCCCACTTTCCATGGGGGCTTTGCGTTGGAATGTCCTCCTTCTTCATGATCCTCTTCAGCTGGCAATACCTCCAAGACCTTTGGAGTACCAAAGTCTATTTCCTGGACAAATTCTGTGTCCACCAGGGTGATAGTCTGCTGAAGCAGCAGGGTGTGAGATCCTTTGCGGCCTTCGTCGCTCAATCGGATCACATGCTTTTACTCTGGAGCCCACAGTACTTCACCAGGCTTTGGTGCCGCTTGGCCGAACACGAGCGCTGGACGAGCGCTCGACCTTCCGATCCCTTTTACTGTGACTCTTTTTCACTTTCCTCGCAAAAGGCCTTAAGGAAGAGATCGCTATTGGGGTTGGAGGCCATCGCTATTAGTAACAAGAAGCTACTAGGGGCTCCTGGCCTTACTACTAGGAGCAAGGACGCTACTAGGGGCTCCTGGCACCGCTACTAGGAACAAGGAAGAAGACATTGCTAGTATTGTTCGTCACTGGTCGTTTTGCCCTACAGGTACCTTGGAGTTGGCTGCATTGGTGAAATCCAAGTCGCCATCGTCCTTGCCCTTAAAGATCTTTCCTTTACAATTGGCGAAGATGAGTTTGTACACCTGGTCCATGGGTTTCATGGTCTACGCGACCAACCAGTTCAATCGGATCGCTGGGCGCCCGATCCCAGATATTTTGATCTTGGCTTTGGCATTGATCATTGGGGGCTACTTGCTGTGCATGGCCTTCAGAAGATATGCACTCGATCGGAAGGCGATGAATCAGCAAATACAAAGCTTTTCCGTGGAGGACGCGAAATGCTCAGACCCCAGCGATCGTCAATGGGTGGAGACATCAATGCTTCGATGGTTCGCAGATTTGCAGCTTTGCAATCAACATATTCGAGAAGGACTTCGTGAACAGATTCGACATGTCTTGGGCCCAGAGGATCATTTCCCGACCACGCTGGCGTTTCCAATCTTGTTGATCAACTTGTACAATGATGGCGACTACTTTGCTGGAGGCTATTTTGATGGAAGCCCCCGTCGCATCTTTGCTGCTGTCGGCTTCACAGCCTTTCTCTTTACTTTCATTCCTCTGCTCTACAAGGTCTGCTTTTGCTTTTCTGAGAGGCGAAGCTGGATTGTGGAATTTCTTATCAATGCCTCATTGTCTCTGGGTGCTACGATCATTACGGCTTGTGTCTACGTGGTCACTCACAACATTGTAGCAAATCCTGAGGTCTCGGCATGGGCTTTGTCCATCGTCGTGTTAGAAATCCTCATGGCTCTGTGGTTGCAGCGCGCCTCATGGCGCCGCCGCTGAATCTGGCGCCGCTGGGGTCGTGCCAGCAGAAATTCATGTCATTTCAGGAGAAATTCATGTCATTTATATTTTCGTAGGATCTTTTTGAAAGCCCCACAGGTTTCCGACCTCCGGAAGTTGATCTCCCAAAACGGAATCTTTCCTTTGCCTGCTTGCTACTTGGTTGGTTCTGAATCAACTTCCAGAGCTGTGGTGAAGTCCGCAAGTCATGGGGGCTTGATTTGCTCAAGCCCGAAAGAGCGGAACGGGACGTCTTGGACGAGACGGCCACCGGTGGCCGTTTCGTCTCGCAGTTTCACGTCTCAGGATGCAAAAGACGCTGTTTCACAGGTGTGCAAAAAGGGATTTGACCGCGTGCAGTGCGCATTCGGCCTTCTGCCGGGAATGGCTTTAGGGCCGAGAGCTGCCCGTTTTCTGGTACTTTGATTCATCGTCTTCTCATGTCCTTCTCGGAAAACGTTTCTGGCAGTGGTTCATTGAGATTCGTCTTGCACTCTGCATCAATGTAACGAGATGGAGTAAAATGAAACAAGATGGAACCCACGAACCCGAATGCAAGCACGTTCGAGAAACTAATATGTCCAAACGACACTCTTGTAGGACACTCTTGTGGGACACTCTTCTGGGACACTCTTGTAGGACACTCTTGTACGACACTCTTGTGGGTCACTCTTGCAGGAAACTCTTGTGGGACACTCTTGTAGGACACTCTTGTGGGACACTCTTATAGGACACTCTTGTGAGACACTCTTGTGGGACACTCTTGTAGGACACTCTTGTGGGACACTCTTGTAGGACACTCTTGTGGGACACTCTTGTGAGACACTCTTGTAGAACACTCTTGTGGG